AAGAAGTGGGAGGACTAAATGGATTAGTGAAAAGTGATCAAAATAGTGAGAGGGCACGAATTATATGCATTTTTTTTTATAATAACGGGCTCCTCTGGGCTGGAAAAATCGGCAGTGTTTTGCTGACGATTACGGAAAAAAGGTTCTCAAACGAGAGGCTTGCACCAAGGGGGCGGAGGTGAGTACCGAAAGTCTGAGGCTAGCCTCTCTGAAGGCCTGAAGATTGATAAAATGATTATTAAGAAATGATAGAAACTAATAGAATGTAGGAGTCGATAGTATTAATGTATTGCGTGATCACATTCTTTTTTGTTTTTTATTATTTCCTTTATAGGATACAGCAAGGTGCCCTCTGCAGGTCTTTTGAGAGCGCGCTTCACGAGAAAACGGCAAGCCAAAATTTTCATTTCTGTGGTTTATATTCAGTTTTGGGCCTTAGCTTAAACTCCACAGTTATGATTCAGGTTTGAAATACTGTAGGCCTTCATTATGGCTGGGTAAATTCCATGCGTATTTGTGGTTAAGATCACATCGGCACATCGATCTTGGTAAAAGTTTTTTTGGACTTCTTCCATTTTTGCCCGCAGTTTCTCAGAGGAAGGGCCATATTTGCGTACCATACTCAGCATGGGAACAATGTACGCTCCATAAGGTTTCAGAAAAACAGAGCATCACTGTTTTTAATGTTTCTGAATATTGCGAAGAGTTGAAGGATCCAAGCCGAGGGTCAAAAGTCAGACTGTCCTATGCTTCGTATACTTTCACTAATGATTATTTTTATATACCTGAAAACGCTCATAATGAATCAAAACGGTGTAACCAAATGAATAAGTGAAGGCGGTGTTTGAAATAATTTTATTCATTTGTATTAAACAACAAATTCAAACGTCAACAGGTTATTTCTCTCAGCAGTTAACATCAAATTGATATAATCAACATTTAATCTGTCTCGAAAACATCTAGTGGTACGCCCATTCTCACCGCATAACTATCGAGCATTGCTCGGTCGTCCTTCGATATCGGTGGCACCTAAATAAATTGTCGAGTACTCGGAAGAACAAGAATCTATGAAAGTGAATGAAATTCGAACTTTCTCTGAAATTCAACCGAATTGACTGGTTTAACTTATCGGCCACTGTCATCGTGGCCGCCACGCCGAAATCCTGTCACCACCGTGGAGCGATTTTTGTGGTTTTGACACTATTTCCTTCGTTTCTTTCGTCTTTTGTCAACAATTAGCTAATGGAGGTGGATATTTTCCCACAGATAACGTCTGCAACTCTTCGCTTTTCTTTTTTTTTNNAAAAAAAAGAAAGTTTTGAAACATCACACAGAAAGATTGTTCCATAGCAAAATGTCAAGATTGAAAGAGTCATGCCGAGTACTCCTGAGGTCGCCACTTTGCGGCTGTCCTGGCGTGAGGGTGTTCGCACAGCGGCCACGTTGGCGCATCCGATCAATTTCCCTCGAGTTACAGGAAACTTTTCCCACTAGGTAGTTACTGAGCTCCTACCTCGAGGTGCTTTAGACTTTGTTGTGACAGGAATGATCCTTTCTGTGAATCTTCCTTCTTGCACTCGACTGCGTCCGCTACACAGGACAAGGGGATTCCGATCTGGAAAGTAATTATCAGCATATCTTCCGGGTAGCCCTCTGTACACATTGAATGCATGGTGCGGTGTCATTCAAAGTGAAGTTTACCTCATTAAAAACTGACGTCAGCACTTTCTCTGTGTCATGAATTACTTCATGGAACCACACGATAGGATGGCAATACATCTCCTTATTCTTCTCATAATAAGACAGAGGCGAGGCCAGCATAATGGCTGCTTGGCCCTGGAATTACTCTCGGCCATTTCATAACTTACTTTTTTTGTATCCATCTCAAGATCAACAAAAACATTGAAAAAGTGAAGTGGACGCAGTAACTCACTCTCATATCATCTGGACGGAGTATCCTCACCCACTTCCCCTCACCAGCAACTAGAGTACCGAGGCAGCGAGATACGTATGGCGAGTATTTATAGAGTTCCAATAGCAACAAATATAGAAATTCGGCACTGTAAAGTACGATTTTATGGGAGGCATGAGTATTCGCTTTCAAATGCCTCATAAGATGGAAAGGAGTAAAGATAAGAAGGGAAACGGGTGTTTTGGTGGTTAGGCAGATCCGAAACCTATTATATGTCAGATTGACGGAGAACTCACCGACGGGCAGCCTTTTCCACAGAGATCAGTGCTTTTTTGCGGAACATGAAGATATGTTTGAGATTCGGGATATCCTTACATAGTGGTACCAGCCTCGCTTCGAACGATTGAGTCTTCAGCACGCATAGAGTCTCTACTGGGAGGTGCGCCCTCAGGCAAGTCACTGTGGCATGAAGTAGTGTGCGTACCTCCTGATCAACAAAGCAGATATCACTTGAGAGCTATGGGGAAAGGGATGAAACTTCTACTTTTCGAGAAATCCCAATCAATGCTCAAACAGTAACGAAGCGCATCGAGTTTTTAGTGTCATGCTATAGATATTTTTGACATTAATGAATGAAGCGTCTAATCGCTGTATATGTTTTTTAAATTCTTGTTGGAAGTCTCAGGTAATTTCAGGAGATAAAGTGAAAGCATCACAAAAGCATAACGTGAAGGAGGGACTTGTTGAAAGCAGCATGACCTTCTCGTTTTTTCCACTTCAATCACTTGCATGCCTTTGAAATTTTTAAAAGTTCCCTTTCATAAATGTTAACGATATGGTATGAGATGAAAAATATGATTAAAACGTACAGATTCGCTCAGAAGTTCTTCGCCGAGTGCTATGGAAAGTACTGTGAGTGCTGGATGTTCAGCGTAACAAACGGATATACCTGGCCTGGAACAAAGGTAATTTCTTATAAGTCCTTGCACACATTCATTGCATGGGTATGGGTACATTCACCCAGAACTGGATGGATGCGGCAAATCGTGCGGCGAAATTTGTGGCGACTTAAACGACTTTAGCGCCTACCAATGGGGCCCAAACTTGAAGTAGAGTAGATTGGTAGGATCCGCTGACCATACTAGTGTACTCTTCTTCAAGTTTGCGCCCCAATTATGGGTGCCAAAATCGTCCTAAATGCCACGAACTTCGCCGCGCCATTTGCCGCGTTCATTCAGTTCTGGGTGAATGTTCCGTCCCCCTCATTGCATTTATTGCACGTAATTCGAATGGAAATCAACTAAGATGCATTGACCTGTTAAGCATCTTTCCAAATAGCGTACTACCACATCGGGCAGTATTCGTAAAAAGTACAGTTTTTGGCTGAGGTTTGGTCGCCAGTTTATCGGCAAATTTCAAAAACTCTGAACGTGTAACTTCTGCCACGGCGAGGGCCTGAAATTCGAGCTGTGCCAGAAGCATTAATAACGTTTCGACTACACCCACACACACAAAATGATAGTATTAGTGGGAGTCATAGCGTGATATTCGAAGGAAAGCAAACTGCCAGAGTAACAATAAGCTGGTCACAAAATTCAGAGTTTTGGAGGAGGCTAGACTTCGAAAGACAAATATCTCCTTGGCGTCGAGTATCGAACTTTTTTTGTCTCATATGTACTACTGCATAAACCCAACCATTCCCTTTTTGGAGCGGTGAACATAAAGAAACGGCAAGGCTATCAAGACTAACCATCTTTTGCCTTTTTTTCCCTAGGTCGGCTAAATGGTACCAGATGGTACGGGTACGGGTCTGGTAAGTTAAAAGCACTGACTGGTAGATCCAAGTTTCCCATTATGGAGTTAACATATTCATTTGAAAACCGCACTAAAAAAANAAAAAAATTGCGGCTTTTTGATTAAAATAAATCGGTCTTAGTCAGCGCTTCATAGCTTACGCTCAATCTGTTTCATGGATTCATGACGTTACAGAAAGATAACTTGTTAAGCGAGGGGCAGTTGGCTGGGTGCGCTTTAACGAGATTTCCTTTCAGCGCTGTTGAGGCTGTTGAGACAATTCTATACGAATTGCAATTTTCTGAGTTGAAGACAACAGCAACCTATTGAATGTGGAGAAGTAGACTGTTGTTAATTTCGTAGGAAAATGGATCATGAAAATCAGAAGATAAACTAACCTTTTCAAACATTGGCACAAAAAGGAACGGATTCTTGTCAATAGTGTAGGTGGTAATGGGTTCCGGTAATAGTACAAAGATGACCAGGTCCTAAAATGGCAATTTTGAAAGCAAACTTCGGCAGGTAGTCTCAGTGACCTGTAGCGCACTGAAACGTGGCCAGCCAATCAGAGATGCATTCCTGTGTTCATAATGCTGTTTAGAGGCTAGCCACACCCCAGCTCGCTGCCACCACAGCTTCAGTAGGTTTGTCTCATTACCTTTTCTATTGTATATATGGCCCATTGAGGGTTGTTAAGTATCTCGATACTATCCAAATATCCTGGAGCGAGAACAAAGTCCTTTCTTTTAGCGATCTCCTCGGGGTCCACTTTATAGCGCCATACAATTGAACTAACACGCACTTTACCGTCTGGAATCTCTCTGGAGCCGGTACATAGGTAAACAACCTGAAATGTAAGATCGATTGAAATCGTTCCATTAATCACGACTATAGAATTATTGAAATACTAATTGTAAGAGTCCTTCAGCTTCCTAAATCCCCACTGAATAAGCTTAAAAATGATTTTCAAGCGAATCGCAAACGCTGTTGGAACGACTGGGTTCTTAGTTATACCTGTCTCGTGTTACTTTGCTTTCTACATAAGTTTTTATAGACCCCTAATTGTACCTTAGACCCTGATTGAGCGGAGCAGAGAGACGAACCGGGCTATCGAGTGCCCTCAAACTCTGGAAGTTGGAGGACGGTATATTTTATCAAATTCGATTCCCCCTTTCAGGGATGATAGAGTATCCGCACTGATTTCCATAAGCGAAAATAGAAAAATGAATCGTTTTCAGCTCCTCAACGAAAATGGAGACTGAGCAAGGTGAAAACTCGGTTGCCGTTTCGTCTGAACCGTGCCATTTTTCAATATCCGACCTCATTCATACTGTGACTCAAGAGAACCGTTGAAGAAGTGTTAGTAAAAAGTATGATATATGCTAATTACCTCGAGTAATTTCCTATATATCGTCTGCAGTACGAGATAAATAGCGTAGAGTTGAAGACGGAAGACGACCCAACCTTTTTCAGAAGTTGTTTGCATGACGAAACTAAACGTTCAGCCAATTCAGTGCGATTAATTATATTCGGTATTCCACAAAAGTCTACAGAAGAATGAGTGCGATAACGAGACAGATGGGAGGGTGACAAAAAGGAAGGAGAACTTTAGAGCGGTGAGATGAACCTCCTGTAGCACAACAGCATCTCAGATTACGGGACTATTTAGAAGTAGCTGAACCTATTTCTTAGGCAAACTTTGACTTCAAACGAGAACTCCGCTCTTGGCTCGAACGGATTGGATTGATGGAAATCACAAAAATGATCAAGAGATAGGAAGAGTTTTTACTAAGATCACGAAAAAAAGACAACTGAGTGTAAGCATTCAGTGCGATGAAAAACTATGAATATCTCAAATCTTCTTTACGCGGTGCTCCATGAATTTATAACTGCAATTGGTTCGCTAGTACTTTACACCTAACTGATCGTCGCATATCAACACCCACTGACTGGTCACTAATCAATGATGGCGATTCGGTGTTTTGAAATATCGATCTCGGCCGAACCCATCACACTATCCTTTGGAGGCAGAACAGGACACACCTAGGTAATTTCGGTGTTTATTGACACTTGGCTTTTCTATTCTACCATGGATTGAACTACTTGTTTATGGGAGCAACATGTGACACGCCTTGGTGCCATGTTGACTATTTAATTTGAGTTTTTTATGTGGGGATGGTCAAGACAAAGGGAATGCAAGCAGTACAAAAAAGAGGAAGCAATGTTTCCACGAAGAGCTGTTCATTCGGGGCGCCTCCCTTAATTAGGCCTCTCACCCTTCTGATCACTGTGAAAACCTGTCTGGCAGTGGTGGTGTCAGTAAGAAAGGAAGCACTCCTATGATGCAACGTTCTGTTTACTTCCGAAGTTCGGTAACTCTTTCAGCTCTCACCCAAGCTCATCATAGGCGTCGTATAGAATGAATAGAAAATTAGGGACTTTGCCTCGCCTTGTACTCTGAGTTTATGATTACCGTGCAACTTGGAAGGAAACAAAAGCTTTACCTAGTGAAATCATCCTGGAAGTAAGCAAAGCTGATTCTTGCTATATAAAGGGATTACTGTAGTAATTGTCGTCTGTGACTGCACACTGAGCGCGTCGAGTTCCCACCCAAGTTTGTTTTGGCCCCGGCACTGTTTTGTTTACGACTTTGGGAGTGCTACGTGGGTTTGTGCTCTTCTGCATTGAACGTTTCCTTTTCATTTACTCGCATTGATCTTGGCCACCTCTTTTGATGATGCGATCGTTTATTCTGATGAAGTGTTCCGCTGTATATGTGGGAAGGTTCCTTCACTCTCAAAACTGCTCTTTCCTGAGAGCTTCCCTTCTCTTGATCTCCTTCAATGCAGACTTATTCTTGAACCTTATTATATTGCTGTTAACTGTATGTAGCTTGGTGCAAACGGCTGTACTATACCGGTGTGTAGTACACGCGCCCTTTGTAGTGGCGTAGCACGGTTGTTCAGGACTATTTCAAAGTTATGCAGTGGCCTTTTTTCATGTGATGACTGATCTTTAATTATCTCCTTAGCTGCTTTCTCGCAGGTTCTACTCTCAAGCTTTGCGTCCTAATGAAGTGGAGTCGTCTGACAAGGCGACAGGGTTTTAAACCGCAAAACAACTCTCTCAATCTTTCAGGGGAGTTGGCGATGGAGCTGGTAAGCGTATGACTGTAATGTCAAAGTCAGTCCATCTGAACATATTGTTCTAAAAGATGAACCCTCAAGCGGTTTTTTTCGATCACTTTATACGACTGATTGTATCGTGTGGAACACCAAAGTCTCAGATAAGAGTGTGCGCTGATTCTTAGTGTAGGTGAAAGTGAATGAGGCGCTGGCACCGGCTGGCAGTCAGGACTGCCACCAACTCTAAACTAACTTCCTATAACTATTGTAAAAAAGAATATTAAAAAGAACTTTTTGGAGTTTCTACACTTTCCTTTTCTCTCCCACCTACAGACTGATCATCGCGGATAGGAGCTTGTAAGGGGATTGAAAGCGTCATTGCTCATTCTTCACCGGTAGTGCTTTTCTGCTGTGAAGCGGTGAGTGAAGCCTGTCTGTGCACTAGAGCTGTAGAACTGCAACTTGTCCATTGAATGGACACCTTCCATGGCGTGAAACCAGGCCTTCCTTTGGATGTAATGTATACCGTCGTGCCTGTTCTCTATGGGGATTATGCATATGATTGATTTGTATTATCGGCATTAATTAGGAAACAAAATGCGTTCTCTTTCGTGATTTTGTGTGTATGGGTGTAAACAAACTATATACGCCGAAAATTGATTGGCGTTGGAAACTCCATACTTCTTTTTATCTCAGAACAAGATCTTTGCACTACGACTAAGGCTACGTTGTACTTCAGGCCTTGTGTAACTGTCTAGTTATTTTAGAATGTTGTGAAAAGATCCCATCTCACACTTTCCCGAGTTATTTATTCCACCATCCTTACCTGCACTGGAAACATATGCGAGTTGTAGGGCAGCGTCTGACGGAAAGCATCAGCAATGGATTTTGCTGCCGTACTTGAAATGTCGGCCTTGGACTGGGTACTTCTTGCCCTGCTACTTGTGTTATTCTACAGATGGTTAAAAAGGCGAGGTGAACCAGAAATCGCACTGCCCAAACCTGTTACGGTAAGTCTAACGATTTGAATTGGCTATCCTTATACTATTTCAATTGCTCGTAACTAGTTGCGATTTCCGTCGTTATCGCTCATACTGACTGACTGACTTGGAACTTTTTAACGTAAAATATCAGCTCATTAGTGTCATCACAATCACATGGCATTTCAAAGGAACAATCTCTGTCCTTGCTCGACTGAAACGGTTTGAACTTTTTAGAATCAAAAACATTTTGTCGGGAAGGTTCAGAAACCGCGTTATATGCAATTAGTCCACATGATGACTAATTACCGTGAAGTATAATTTGTGAAGTCAAATAAAATTGCGTAGTGGTAGCCCAAATGGCTGCTTGACCATGTTCTCGTAGACACGTACCACTGGGTGAAAGCTTTCCAAGAATATTTATTCAAGGTCGCACCTCTACCTAAACAAGACATGACGCTAGCTGAGCTACGTAAATATGATGGAGCTCAGGACGAACATGTTCTCTTCGCCTTGAATGGAACGGTTCGTTGTTATCTCGAGTTTTTGGAGTGTTATATTTGTGTGTGACTTTATCGGTTGGCAGGATTTGAACTAGTTATATCTGCATTTTTCTTCGAAAGCATCCTTCTGTCGCTCGCTGCAGATCTATGATGTTTCGCGTGGTCGCAATTTCTATGGTCCTGGCGGTCCATACAGCGCATTTGCGGGAAGAGATGCTACCAGAGCTTTATCCACGATGGATGTCAAGGATGTAAGAGATGAATGGGATGATCACGAAGACTTCACTGCTGACCAAAAGGTTATTTCCTTAATGAGTATCTTAAATAAGTTTGCATTTGTTTTTTATGATTTCTACTGGTTAATATGACTAATCATGGTTTACCTTGAAAATGAATTCGTTCCAGGATAGCGCACTTGAATGGGAAACGTCGTTAAAAACTAAATATCCAGCAGTTGGTAAACTTATCAAGGACGGCGATCCTCGCACTGATTACAGTGGTTTGATGTCGTCGATTGAGCTTTGAAAGGTTTATATTATTCCGTCAGCGGAAATGATGAAGTGAACCAGTGTGCGAATGCGGTTAAACTTGCTTAGCCATTCCTTTCGTTTTCAATGCCCAATTGTATCATTGTATTGTAACAGTTGTTTATAGTATATTTTGTTATTTTTGATTTAATCTCTCTTATTGTTGCTACTTTGAAATAAATCTCTCATACATAATGTAAAGTAGAGAGAGCTGGCAACGTTTCCCATTTCATGTCTATTTTTTGCTGTCTATGGAGGTACAGAAATGTACAACGGAATAGCGCAGTGGAACCATCATTGTGAACAACGAGTGGGTCACGCATGGATATGGAGCGTATTATAGCCGGTCCTCTCCGTTCACTGAGGATATAGCAATGAGCTGCATCGAGTGGGATACTCTGGTTAAGGAACTATGATAGACATTTCTTCCAAGAATGGTTTTTCGATTTTTTTTTCGAAAACCCACCTCCCTTTCAATGGAGCCAATTTTTTCCTGTACTTATCAGTGTCGCGCTTGTGAGTACAGCAGCAGTTAGCTACCTTCGTACTCTGCGTTGGTTGATGTTCGTATGGCAAATGGTGAGAAGTGCCGTCCGCTTCGGAAGCGCGGTATCCAACTTGAATCGCATAGTGACAAGGCTTTATACCTCGATCAGACTTACATACTTCCTTCCTAAATCATTCTGTTTTTCCCCAGCCCTGTCATCTTTTGTCTGCCATACCTCTGTCCTTTGACCACTGACCAACGCAGAGTATGAAGGGCAGCTGGCGGGGTCGTTGCACCTTCATTAATAGTTCTAATGAGAAAGAGAAATATTACCGTTCCCTTTACCTATAGTTATATCAGGCTATGGCATTCATGTACCCGTTCCATGCACCATCTCTTCCTGCCAAATGGGATGATCCAATATGGTTGCATGAAGTATGCCCAGCCATGGAGCACGCTCTGGTAGCGACTCTGGAACAGAAAAAGATTAATCAGGTTAGACGGTTTTTTAGCAATATCGGAGTCAAAGATTTTCCGGCACAATAACGGTTACGAGGTTCTGCACAATCCTTATTACTCTCCCCATTTAGCGTGCCAGAGATGAGATGAGGTACATCAACGATGCGTCATGTGGTCTTCGAGCAGACGACATGGATGAAGAGGAGGAAGATAGTGGCGATGATCACTAACTTGCAATTTGATCCGTGGTTTGTGTTGTGTGGGGCGGTAGACGCATTTTTGCAGATGTTGTTGTAGAATATTTGGCATTGTTCCAAGTGCAATTTTTCATCATGTTCTTCATTCTTATTTTCGTTGAACTTGTTTTTCAGTATAAATGTGTTCGTTCGACTTTGGGTTGACTCGTTTAGCTCGTTACATCAAAGCACTACTTTGTTCGAACTTAGGTTCTCTTTGAATTAGCGTTAAAGCAGTTCGATAAAAAAGAGGGGGGGAGGGTTTGGCAGCAGTAGGGAACCAATGTTGGAGGTATTAGTTTGATTCTCAAATTTCTAACGTCTTAAGCTCAGCTTCGAACTTTGCACAACAAGAAATTTATGAGTCAGTGAGGTCAGACTTGCTGGAAGGGGATTAGGAAGTATATGTTCACTCAATCAACGTCCTTCCACCGCTGTTTACTCTGTCCCCTTACAACCACAGCTCATTACTGTTTGCCTTGAATGTGTATTTTGTGTATTTTTATGGTCTGGACATTTAGGAATTTAATACTTGCCATAATATCCACTTGCCGTTTTCACGGCATATTTGAACGTTCGGACGGCTCTTCATGCCGAAATGGATCGAGCAAAATATTTTCAACGTAACAGGTAAGAGCTAGGTGCTTTCTGTTACTATTTTGTTACTTTCCTCACTGTAGTTTTTGGCATATCGGTAGATCGAATGCACTAAATCCAATAGAGGAAATGAACATTGAAGTTGGTCTGTTATTGTTGTTTAAAACTTCTTTTTTTGAAATCTGACAGCCATTTTATGAAGGGATGTTTACGTTGTTCAGTATTTTAGCACAAATATGTCTAATATTGCCAGAGAACAGTTCAATATTTGGCATTTTAACGTTCTAGCGTACGTCGAATGCAAACCCCTTCCTTTTTTGGTTTTTTTTTTTCGCCAAGCCGCGTAAAACTCGTACTGTGCATCTCAATGATATCCTAGCATCTCGGACTGATAACACTCATGACTCTTGGCTCTCTCTCGTTTTTTGGCTCCGATTTGACCAGAGGTTCAATGGCCAACCGCTGATTACTAAGGAGTCTAGCAGCACGCCCTGAAAGTCTACAATTTGAGAAAGTTCTAGCTCTAACGGCTATATTTTCGCAGTTACTAGAAGCCAACATTTTTAAATTTTCAACGCAGAAATCAGCAAGTGCTATTTATGCGATTCGTCTAGAAAATCGATACATGCCGGAATCAATCGTAATTTGGTATGTATCGACTTTCTAATCTGGAGTTTTCAAGAAAGTTTCGGTATTTAGTTTCTTCAGTAGAAGATATCTTTTCTTCATAATGCTTATCTTGAAAACTGAATCAAAATTGGCTGAAATCCCCTGTTTTGGATCATTTTGGTTCTGTAATGATCGTTGGACAACGTCATCGCTTTCTACCTTTACGACGAAATTTATTCAGTAGCGTGTAGCAATGCTTTCTCCTGATTCCTTCTACACATATAGATGTTCGTAGGTGATTTTCATAGGCAGTTCACGAACTTTGCCGCTGTGATTCAAGCCATTTTTGACATTTCATGAAAAAGTGGTTTACTTGACATGCTATACTTTTGAGTGACAGTAGGCGAGCAGAGGGCATTAGAAGTTCTTAGGAGGGATAACTCTCATTCGGGAATGATTAGACTCTCGTCTTCCTGTTGTATTCAAGCCATACATACAGTTTTCAGCAATTTTCTTCGTCATTGCTTTAGATGTCCCAAATGACTTTTCTTTTGTGTCAAGTACAAAGCATCTTTAAGTTCCATTTGTGTTCCTTTGTATGTTGGGCGTATACCAATATGTTCGCTGATTCCCCTGCACATTTTCAGATATAGGAACGAAGATCGAACTGCAGGTGGAGTCCTATTACAGCAGTCACTATCTCGAGTGCAGGGTGGCCACATGGTCAACAGTAGACCGTTTATAAATGCTGCAGTGGTTGTACGAAATTTGCCTCCTCAAGTAGTTCATCGCATTGATGAGGTGGGTTGTCGTTGTATGTCTTCAGTGGTTCTTGAATCATGGGTAACATGGGAGTAACACCCTTGAAGTGTACTGTCTCCACGTGTAACTACACGCTCTGGGTATCCCCAACTACTTGTACGTCATAAGGCTCTCCGATATGTTGATATAAGTATATATCGTAATTGTACAGTTTTGCTCTCAACTAGGTATTCTCTTTTGTGATATAAAGCTTTTTTCTAATGAAGCGCTTTTTATAGAATTGCAAACCCAGCGAAAATGCTTGCTATAGTTTCTCTGACTTCCCAATAGAGATGGATGACACTTCGTTCAATATCATGGGTAGATACTCGGTAAGTTACCATAGGTTGAATTATATCAGCAATGGTAATCTTGTTGTTGTTTATTGACTTAGTTACTTTTTTTTTNTTTTTTTTTCGAAAGTGGTAGGTGATTTTGAATGAAGCCAATATTTGAAAAGCTCAATAGTTTTTCTTATAGGTGGCTTTACTACACGTATATCGTTTTAACATGATTTTTATTCGAGTAAAGTGGATGGGTGTCCAGAGCACTCCTATGTGTGCAATGATCTCATTTGAGAGTACGGAAAATGAAATACGATTAGCTGTCGAGGAAAGCGCCGGCTACCTTGAGCGTTACGATCATTCGGGTAGGCTTCGGGATTCGTGTGAACCATTCGATTGTTCTTGATCAGCACTTGGTTTTAGTACGGAATGGAGGACGGTATCCAGTAAGCAGGTGTTCCCTGAAATATTTAGAAAGTCATCACATTCTAGCATTAGAGAAGGCAAGTCTTTACCGTGGAATAATTCCACTGTGAACTACCATATCATTATTGGTGGCCATAAAAGAGAACCTTTTACAGACTCACGAGAATTTCCCAGATGCTATCTATTGGTGTTCTTTATGCGATTTTCATATGTCAAACATTCAACATGTACGAACTCATTTCGACACACATCAACATTTCCCCGAGGAGCAGGTACTTTTAGTCATACCCACAACTATACATCTTTGATTGTATCAGAGCAATGAAGCTGTTGCAATGTCGCGGCTCGTAGGCTGTTAGCTTGATTTCCGTTTCGAGAATCAGGAAGTTCTCCGTTTTGGGTTTTTTGTCGCATTGTTTTGTGATGTATTAACTTTTGTCCTTTTGCTGGTAGCTTCATAGAACTGTCACCTATCTTTTTTCAGCGGATAAATGAAAGAAAGGAACTGCTTGAACGAATGCCCAAGATGTCTGACAATCAGCTGAAGGCCATTAACGCACTGATAGCAGAGCTGCTTCATGATAAATCCGAGGTGTTATTTTTTACTTCAAGCGAAATATAAGGCGTTGTTGGTTAAAAAGGGTTATTTTTTAAGAATGGTCGAGGTCCGCTCTGGGAACAGCATATGGAAGTGTCAAAGAATATCAGTGACCTTCTGAGTCGTCATGTGTTCGAAAAATTAGGTGTAGCAGGTACGTCAGTTCAGTTTTGTAAAAAAAAGTCTTGCAATTTCGACAAGAAAAATAGTAATGCAATAATGTTTTCATGACTATAATAAATTATTTACTTTAATAGTTCATCATTACTTTATTTCATAATATTTTTGACGCTTTTTTCTTCAGATGTTTTAAAAACATTTCAGGACAAGTAGCTGTGTATGGTTCTGTGATAGCAAAAACTTGCACTGAAAGCAGTGATCTGAATGTAGATATCGACGTCCCCTCTGTGGATTGTAGCGATGCTGTTGAGACAATGAAATCTGTGGCGGACCTTTTGAAAACGGCCCCTGGTACGTTTATCATGAACGTCTGTTGTTGAACAGTTTTATCGTTAGAGCCCTTTCAAAAGTTGATTTTTCGCCTTTCTTAATGTTTGTCAAATTCACAGCTTTCGATGTGCTTGGTTCTGGGTGTCTATCTTGACGACCAAGTTTTTCTCATTATAGGTGCTTCCGACGTTCAATTTTCAACTGAAGTTCCTATGAGCATCAAATTGACAGTGTCGGGTGTACGCGTACGGATATCATGGAGATGTGAGAATGGTCTAAAATACGGCAAATTGCTTTCTGTATACACAGCTATTCGCCCTCAGTTTGCTAGCCTTTGCCGAGTTGTCAGAAAGTGGGCGGAGGTGTGAATCTACTCCTTACAGCCACATGTATCTCGAAACGTCGGTTTTGATGGTGTTCAGGTTTCTGGGATCTATTCCGTTGATCGACGACAGGGTGGTCTCACAAGTTACGGTTTTGACTTGATGGTACTGTACTTTCTTCTGCAGAAAAATTTGCTACCGTGCTTACATGAGGTGAGATGGCTTGTTTTGGTGCAAATCAACTGATTAGATTTCATTAAGCGGTTCATTATTTTTCTCTATATGTTGATGTTCTGAGAATTCTTTCTCTAACAAACTTTTATTCTATAGTCTGTACCGTTTTCCCTTTGAACTTAACGATTTGTTTATTTCTTGTTCTTTCCCGAGCATAGTAAGGATTCTGGAGGAGCTATGTTTGTCTTGATGTCAATTTTATGCTTAGGTTGCAGTGATTTGCCCTAGATGCTCGTTTGAACTTTTCACCTTAGATGTGTTCCTCAACGTCTCACGAGAGAAAATCAGAACCTTCAATCGAAGATTTTTACGAAAATCGAGAGTTGTACGAAGATGATGTAGATCTGATTGTGAGTTCTCTTCCAACGATTTCATTGAACCCTGTTCTTGAATGTTCTTCTCTAAAAAACAACCTTGGGTTAAAAACAACGATTGCTCTTTGGAACTTCGAAAGTTTTGCTTTATGCACCTGTACCTGTACTTATTAAGTGCAGTTTGAGCCCATTGCTATGTTATCTTTTTTTGAACTGTCCAGAAAGCGAGTAGGTAATTATTATTGGGCAATAGGGCTTGGCATATGGATCACCTACAGTCGCACAAAATCGCAAATTCTTACCACTTCCTTCTACTTTAGTTGCTTTTCAGTTGAAGAAGATTGGCGTCCTCGAAAAACCATGGGATCTGGCTGAATTGTACGTAGAATTCTTGTGCTTCTATGCATCACGAATCCATCAAAACGAAATAGTACAAGTCTACACTGCAAAGCAAGTCAGCAAAGACCGTAGCCGTTGGAATAAAAAGTTACTGCAAATTTCGGGTGAGGATGCTTTCTGTAACGCTCTTTCCTTCTCGTCTGATTTTGTCGGATGAGTGCTTCACTTATTACTTACTATTTGCCGTTATATATTGTACTTTTATATTGCATTTCGCATGAAAAACTTCAGAAAACGAGTAGCTTTCTGAGCTTCCCGTTTGTTTTTATTTTTGAAGACAATAATGCTAAGTATGATTGCAAAAAAGATAATTACTTCATAAGAGAAGAGTATTTTGTAGAATCAGTTTTTCAGCGGACTCAGAATGATCACATGTTTGATTTCAGATCCATTCAGGACTGATAATGTGGTTACATTCACTAAGGCATATCAGGTGTACTTCTTCAACTGCTTTCTTAAATCATTCCTGTATTTTGCTATTCCCCAGACCATAAATGGGCCACTTCTAGATGTCACACTATATCAAAAGGTAGGATTAACCGTGGCCAGAGATGCATGCAAAATGACGAAAATTGCGACGCAATGTTGTTGCCCTTTTACAGATGGGTGAGAGCCCCCGCAAAAAGAAAAGTAAGCGAAGGAAAACGGTGGATACCGCGAAATCTGATAAAAAAGAAGAGTCGAAGACCCCATCAACTCCAGCAAATCCGAAACAGTGTGTAGAATCGAATGCGTCAACATCAACTCATTTGGCAACTGACATAGATGTGGGTTGGATTTCGAGTATTATTTTATTTTCTTTACCTGCTTCGTACCATAGTGGACTTGCTATCTTATACCCTTCATTGGCGGTAATCTCTAAGCTAGGGTTTTGCCTTTGTACCAGTCTTCTTCATGTTTCATGATTGATTTTTTTGGAATTGCCACGATCGAATAAACATAATCATTAGCAATTCCTATCCAATTCCGTTTCTGAAAGTTTGGAGCTCAGATCTGCCAATGTTTAGAATTTTTTTTCAGGAGTTGCTGCCCATCCTAACGATAGTTTCAAATCGTTAGGAGAAGTATTATAGGTTTCTTAACAGTTGCCAGTAACAGTTATTCCTAATTTTTCCTTGATTTCGGACTACTGTAATCGTCTGCCTTCAATTTTGTTTATATCTCAATGGCATTTAAAAAATGCGCCAAATTCCACTGAAGATCTTTGTTTAGGAGGAAGAGTACACGGCTGCTGCAGACGAGCTAGTCGAAGAGGAGCAAAAAACTGAGAAAATAAGGCAGCAAATCGTAGAAGATATGATGGTAAGGATTTTCTAATACTTTTGATTTTGGCCATTTTACTCTATTACTCTCTTCTTCTTCGGTAGCCTGTAGCTTATAGCAATGCTTCTAATTCTTCTATATGAGAACATGAAAAGATTTCTTCTGTTTCTCTCTTGGATAGTTAGCAGGCTTGCTGAAATTTGGAAGATTCTGCTTTCTATGAGCGTTTTTTGAATAATGTGAGTGTTTGTTACTTTTGAGCCGATGCCGCGACCGTTCAGTGTCGTCCTGGATGCGAGGCGATCAAATGGGCATCAGGATGCGATGGACATGGAAAGCGGTCATCAACGGGATCGATCAAACATTCCGGCAAACTTGTTTTTGAATGTTGCATGCCTTAGTGGTCTCAACTTATGTTGCGATAGTCCCAATACCGTCATGGCGCAGCTCATTGCAATTGCTAAAGCGACTGAAACAACAAAAAATGCAGTTACTGGCTGTTCACTGGTGGATCTCGACGAATCTCTCTGTGGAGTATACCTGCTACCAGATGGAGACGCGTTCATAGTTCCAAAGAGAAGTGCCTGCGGTTTCTTTGTCGCCAGCGAATGGGTGAACCATGTGGTCGAAGTTATAAGGCTCAAAAGAGGACTTTCCGAAATAACTCTCCGCCTAATGTCTAATCACTGCCTCAAAGTGCTCCAATGTCTTCAACTCTGCGGTTGTTACCCAATCAGAAGGCTTCGAGAGCGAATAGCGGATCTGAAGGCAATTCCTGATACCTCCATACTTGTAATGTTCGGCTTTAATGGAAACAATGAAATGATGGCAAAAGACGAATTGGAGCTCGAAGAACAATGTGAAGCAATTGGACTGACATTATGGAAAGGATTTTTTGGTCAAGGACTTGAACAGTCGAAGAACATGATAGCAAGTTTTCCGAGTGACGAGTTTGCTGAAATTGACGAGGTCTCTCTGGAAGTCCTTGAAAACCTTCCAATGTGCAGCAGAGTGGATTTAGTGAACGTCGCTCTGAAAGGAAATTGCGTCCGGGTTCCGCCGGAAGCGCTAGAAATCGAGAAGAAGTCTGGGGCAGCGAAAGAGGTTGCAATAAGTCGACTCGCAAAAAATACGGAGCAAACTGATCGAAAAAGAGAGCGGAATGTGAAAAGAGCAGAGCGTAGACGCCGTGAAAAAGAACAGGCCAAGATGGTGTTGCAACAACTCATGGCATCGGATGAGTTCGTAGCTGAAAATGGCAAGGTTTTAACCATGGAAGGAAAACCTCCGCGACCAGATTCACAAGTAGATGAAGTTGGCGAAAACCCGATAGAACCCGATATCACTGAAGCACAGATGAAGAAGAAGCGCCGCAGTAGACGCAAGAAGCCTCACTCTGTAGAAAACGACGTCAAGGTCGTAATGGAAAAGCTTATCAGTGATGTTTCGGAAGTCTCATTGGTCACCGAAGGAGACATAGCGGAAAATGACTTTCAACACAACAAGCCTCTCAGCGTCGAAAATGATGTCGAGGTCGTAATAAAGAAGCTTATCAGTGATGTTTTGAAAGTCTCATCAGTCGCCGAAGGAGAAACAGTGAAGGATGACAGCCTCCGTGACAAGCCTCATTCCTTCGAAAATGACGTAGAGGTCGTAATAGAAAAGCTTATCAGTGATGTTTTGAAAGTCTCATTAGTCAACGAAGAAGAAGCAGTGAAAAATGACAGCCACCAAACAACTTCAGGATCAAGCGCTACCTCTGAAAACTGCAACGTCACGATGAACTCGAAGGAATCGCAAGAGGTAGGATATGACTTTTCTGACCCAGCATCATACGTTTTTATATTCTCTGCTGGTTTACAATAATTATGAAGGGTTTGAAAAATTTTCTAGTGAATCAAGCTAGAAAACCTCTATCTAGTGCTCGGATTTTAAATAGAGATAAATTATTTTGTANAGGATGAAAACGCTGACTTGTACATTGGCTGGCCACCGAAAGTCATTGTATAGGCCACATACGCACTTATCACACCACTACGATTCGGAATGGAAGTCGAGTGCGGGGGCGCATCCCTCAGACGGGATTGATTAACGCCAAAAACTTTATCCTTTAAACTTTGTCCTTTGGTTTTATGTAAAGGTGAGGATTTCGCAACCAATCGGTGTACTTTGATTCACTAGCTTTTTTTATATGGCTTCTTACCATTTGAGAAAGCGATAGTGATGATAACTAATTTCGTCCTAATTCTTGACCTTGAAGGCTAGTGTTCAGTCGCTCTTCTTCACTCACCTCTTCAAAGTTTTTTGTTCTAAAGATGTTTAAAGTTTCACCTTAGATTATATAAATTGAAATTTTTTATTTCACGTTTTTGTCAGAAATGGGAGATTTCATTTGGAATCTCATGGCGCAAGGTTTCTAAAACGTTGGAACTTCATTCAGGAGACTTCCACTGTTCACGATATACGGCTGAAAGATCTTACTCCCGAGAACGTGGAAATTGACGACTATATGGTTTATAGCCGGCGGACGATGAAACGTATTCGAGATAGGAATCCTATTCGGATTCCTGAGAATGTAAGTTTAGAAGGCCCCCTTCCTGCATTTGTATGTCTCTACTACTCTTTTCACAAATTGGCTGTATTCAGTTGTACAATATTTTAAAAGCCGGGTGTCTGGCTGCACGAGATTTCAAAGAACGAGACAAAGAATTGGACGGCTTGCTCAAGTTACGGCACGAAAAGGTACTACATGAGCAGAAACGAGAACGATTACGCGCTCAGATCAAAAAAACAGGAGAAGAAACAGAGGGCGACAAGGTTCAGGTGGCTAAACTGTTTAGTTGGCCTTGCACTCTAGACAACGAAATTTCCTTGTTGCTGAATCCCTTGATGTTTAACGTTTGCCATTTTTCTGCATTTTTTGATGGCTAAAAGGTATGGGGTATTGATAGAAATTCCATTTAGAAAGACCTCGAAGAATACAATCCTTTCGATGAAGTCACGTGTGGCTATACAGAAGAGGACTGGATAGTGTCCGTAGATGAAGAGTCGGCTAGTAATAATGCAGGTATTTTTTCAGGATATTTATATGATATTTTATTTCATGTAGTGTCATAAATTGTGGTACTAGCCTAATTCGCTATGTGCTTTTGTTTCCGCTGCGCAATGAGCTAGTTACTACAGAAACAACCATCCGATGAGGATACATTTGAAAGGCTCTACAGCTTCCAGTATTCATTTCTATAATTTTAGTTGGTTTTGTTCAGCAACAGTAGTTAGCATTCATCGCAGCTAAGTCAGAGGCGTATGTTCAGTAGGTTTCGTTGCCTGGAAATTATTCGTGACCAAAGTAGCGTGACGGCCTTATCATGTAGTCAGGTGAAGAAACACCTGCGCTTTAAGGAACATGTGACTCCGCGATACTTCTCTCTTAATTAGACTGCAGTTACCAGCCCTCTTTCCTGGTGAAGACTTCCTTGTAATTGCTTATATGTTTATTCAAATGTTTGGATTGTTTTATTCTTTCTGCTTGTTTTCCTATTACTTGCCACTAATGGAATATGGAATGTTGCTTAATTTCAAGAGGTCGATGCTAACAATGATGACTCCATAGATGAACGGGTAGGAACCATCGAGAATGTGGAGGCTGTCGAATCGAATGAGGTTATTTCGTTATTCTTTTTGCAGTTTTGAATAATGTAATATTGGTTGTTTTTTTNTTTTTTTTCATTTAGTTGTCCAAAAAAAAACGATATCGTTGACCGTTAGGCTTAGCTAGCTCGTTTGGCTGCTGAATATCCGGGAAATAAGCCTTAAATGTAGTCCTGATACAAACCTTTCAAAAGTATAGGAGGGTGCACCATTGCCCATCTTCCTGCCTTCATATTAAGAAAGAAATTCAGTTCAGGAGATTCGAATGGACATAATACATAGATAGCTATCGAGGCTATGAAGGGATTTCATCCTGTTTTTTCACACTTTTCTTTGTCTTGGAGAGAGTATCCACGGTAATAGCAACTGTATTGTCAGGTTGCTGAAACTCGAGAAGCGGAAGGGAAAAAGCCGAAACCGCACATCTGCTATGAGAACTTCTTCATTACAGTGAAAGATTTTGATCCGCAGAGTTTGAAGGAGAAAGTAAGTCATATTTGTTGGTTCCATGCAATTTTTTCTTTTAATAACTCCATTCTAGATAGACCGCCTCACTGTCGATCGATTCTGTTATTCTTTCGATGACTCACAAAATTTCAATAACGGATACGTCAGTTTATTCATAAACTTGGTTTTGCCCTGTGTTGTTTCAAGTTATCGATAATGACACCAAAATGTTGCTTTGAGAAACCCGATATTGTCTGCGCAACGTGTGAGAGCAGTGACCATTGGTCAGATGTTTGCCCAATGATGATTGTGAGTTTCTTTGAGCTATTTCCTTCAATAGTCCTGCAATTATCCTAAATTGCGAGTTATTTTCGTTTTGTTTTTAGCCTGTTTGTGGCCAGTGCTTTGAAAGTTTTGAGGCTCCTAATGTTGCAATTTCAGGTTCCCAATGTAGAAGAACTGCATGTCGAGAAAGCTCTATATGAATGGGTGGAACTGGATCGTGTGATTATAGGAGGATATGGTTTGGTTTTTACTAAATTTTCTTTTCTTTCAGACTTGCATAAGATTTAATTCTGTGTTTGGTTCAAGGGGAGTAAGGATTGATTCTAAACATATTCGTTAGTCTGATTACTGTCAAGATTTGGTTTTATAGATAGAACCCGTGTGAGAACATCGCGAATAAATGAGGTCGAGGAATTTGTCGACCGTCTACGTCTTCATCTCCAAAATGAGCTCAAGAGGCCGGTGCGGCTCAATGTGAGTGGTTCATGATGTATTTGACGCTTCCATTGTTTATTTATGCAGATTTTAATCCCTCGACTACTTTAGATATTCGGTTCATTGCTCAGTGGTTTCGGTGTAGCAAATTCGGATGTTGACCTTTGCTTCCGTTTTCGGTCAGATGAACAGCCTATGGTAAGTTCCGCTTCGGTGTTGGGATTCACCAGCGTTAGCCCTAGTGAATGAAATTGATGTGCATCTGCGATAGATGTCAGTCATGACTGTTACCATCGTGCATGCTCCTACTTTTTTTTTTTTTTTTTTTGAATTTAGGGAAGTACATGGTAACAGTCAAGGGACCTATGGCATTATAATTTCTGAGCTAAAGCTGTAAAACATACACGTTTTGGCAGTTTTTATAGATTTCTAAATGCTGTTATTCTCGTTTACTTGACTGTACTCCGAGCTAGTTGCGATTGTAGTAACTATAAGCGAGGATTTGTAGTTATCATAAAACTATGGGTTGCAATGTTGGTTCTGTTAGAATAGGGTTGATGATTTGAACAACCTATAAAGTGATTTTGGCGGGACCTTTGCCTTTCCATGAGTTCCACAATTTTCGTCAGTTCTGCCCTAGGGAGCCGTTCGTGGTCTAGTTATAACTGTGTTGTAAGATCCTTTGCTGAAAAAGGTTTCACGACGTTTCTTGATTATTTATTCAGCTTTCGTCTCAAACTGAATAGCTGACGTTCTGCTTCCCCCTCGAATTAAAACTGGCGTTCTCACATACTGTTGCCACAGAGACGTGCTTCTATGTCGATACAACATTTTTCTTAGGCCATCGACGGCGTTGAGATCGTCCGACAGATCGCGCAACATCTGCAGCAAATGGCCGAAGTTGATAACGTATACGCAATAACTGGTGCTAAAGTGCCTATTGTAAAATTTAATTGGACAAGGCTTGGCGTCGAAGGAGAGTAAGTATACGATTTTGCTCACTACAACGGCGTTAAGTATCTGAAGATAAAAACAGAGGTTAATTCAGCATCAGTTATTATAACGTGCTAGCCCTGTCGAACACGGAAATGCTCAAACAGTACTGCTCTTGGGACTGTCGCGTTGCGCCCCTTGGTGTTTGGATAAAACGGGTAATCGATGATCTACTGTGTCTTAAATCTTGTTCTTTAGTTTTCGTTTCCCCTAAATCCTCCTGTATTGATATTTTACAGTGGGCGAAATCTTGCGATATCGGTGATGCGTCTCGTGGGTCCTTGTCCTCATACGCGTTCATCATACTGCTCCTTCATTACCTCCAAAATTGTGACCCACCAGTCTTACCGCGCTTGCAAGAGGTACTGTTTTCCTAGCACGAGTCTTTTCAAAAACGTGATTTTAGACTTTTAAACTGACAACCTTGGCAATTTTAGGATTTCCGAGATGACAGTATTCAGCCAGTTGTAGTGGATAATTGCGATGTCTACTTCCATCGTGAAGTGATCCCTGATTGGTCACAGAACCGACAGTCGGTTGGAGAACTATTCGTCGGTTTCCTCGACTACTATGCGCGATTTGATTTCGGAACGCAGGTTTGTGCCTCTTTACAGCAGTGGAAGTATTCTTTCCTCTGAACACCTTTGCTGTCTTCTAGTTCGACTCTTCCATTCTTTATTGTCGCGGTGCTATAACGTATTTTACAAATTGTTATAACTAACAATAAGAGTCGAGGGAGAAGGGTGCCAAGATCGCTTATCAAGTTCCTCATAATCTGCAAATCGTACTCAAACCACAGATTCCTCGGTTCTTGAACTCTACAGCCTGCGAACTATGAGGAATGCCAATGTTTTGTTTCGTTTCTCGTTCTAAAACGCCACAGAAACATAATCGCTATTGCAACCACAGTTGAATTTCGTCGTCTAGAAACAATTTTTAATTGCTTTGTGATGAGGGAACAGAGCCCGGATTGTAATGGGAGTCTTTCTCTTCCGGCTAAATAACCTAGGATATAAGTAGTCATTAGTACCTCGACGATTAACTTCCATCTGATCCATTGACCTTTTCTAATCACATCTCAATAGTCGTACCTTTTCAGGTATTTCCAAGGCTCCCTGCTGTCGCGCAGTATTTCTTAATGTTAAGTGCTGTTGCTTTTCCCCGCGCTCATCCCTCTTATGTTATCCAAAATTTCGTAAGTTCTGTCTCAGTGGACCTAGGGCATTAGGATTTCGTAGGAATACGGGCAGCAGGATGGGAATACTTATGTGGGCGACAGGACCCGAATCCGTCCTCAGAAGGCGGGGTTTGCGCGAGATAAATGTTTGAGCGGGAGTTCATAAATTTGTTCCCCGTGTCCTAGAGCATTCAAATTTAGTAGGAGTAAGGAGACAGGATGGAAACAGCCATGGCTAGTGGATTGACCAGACTCCGTCCAAGGGGTTGGGGGTTGCGTGAAGAATGTTGATTTGGGCCCAGAGCGTTCAATTTTCGTAGGAGTAAGGAGACAGGATCGGGATACTCATGTTAGGTGGCATGTCCAGACTCCGGCCATGAGGGGCGGGGTTCGCGCGAAAACGTCAATTTAGGCCTGGGAATGCTACGAATGCAGGAGACAGGATGGAAACACTTAGGTAGGTGAGAGGACTGGACTCCGCCCCCGGGGGCGAAACGTGCGTAAAATGAGCGCAATTTCAGTGAATTAGCGCAGTAAGTTGAAAAAAGGGGGAGGGGCAAAATAAACATCTTAGGATAATCTCTTAGACTCTTGCAACTTGACAGCACGCAGTCGCCTCCATTATTACTTTATGTTTAAAGAAAATTTTTAGTTCTATGTAATCTAGTGGTATTAAAAATTTTTTCGATAATCGTCATTCTATTAAATAGATATTTCTAAATGACTAAGTTCCATGCGATAGTTTCAAGTTGTTTCGAAATTGTGTTCGTAATTTGTCTTTCTCTATGATGAATAGTTGCAAACTTTGTATTACGTAGCGGAAAAAATCGAGAGAAATCTCTAGAGTCGTCTGCTGGAGTTCCGTGGTGTAATAGCCATCACAACCCTCGAAGCGTTCTGATTGAGTTTGAGCTTTGCATAGGGCGACTCGCTTTTTCTTTGTTCAACCTTCCCTTTCTGCCTTTCTAGATGCTCATTTGTTTCTTTTTTTTCTGAGCGAATCGGTTGGTCTGTCTGATAATCCGTAAATTGGTGGATGTAATAATAAGGGAAACCCGTCTGCTAGCAAAATTGCCAGCTGAACTTGATAACCCCATGAGCCTAATGCAGTAATATCGTTATGATAACGTTTTCCTTCCACTATATAAGGTCCCCAAGCACTTTCTCACTTCATGCTCTTCTGGTGGAAAACAGTTGCAAAGGGCCTATACCGCAGAAAGGCTGTTGACAGCTGTCTGAAAATTAAACTGTGACTTATCTTACAAGGTTACTGCATTAGAATTGAACTTTATCGCTCCAATAAAACCTATTTTACAAGGGCGAGAGGTAAAATAAAAATTACTTCATTCATTAAGTTGTTTATCTTTAAACTCGCTTTTTTTTGTTTTAATTGAAGATGTACACAATAGTGATACAGTGAACACCTCATAAAAGTAATCGAACTCGCAGATAGATTTGATTGAAAATGAAGCAGGAGTATGTATGTTTTCCAGATTTGTAAAGGCTTCATACTTTAGTTTTAAGGATGTACAAGGCCATACTAGGGTCATATTATTATTTTGTTTTGTTTTGTTTTTGTTTTTCTTTTGTTTTCCTATGCAAAATATCTCAAGTACTGGTTTTATGAGTTTTGCTAGCATTAGTGGGAGATTTTTGAAAATATTAGGTTGAAAAGCCCCACGAAGGGCATACCAGATTTAGTGGATCTTTCCTTTTGTGGCCCTTTATCAGCCATTATTAATTGCTGGGTTCCTGTGTACATCCTATTTACGTCTATTTGATTCCAAAGTGTATTAACTTTTACTTCTTATCACTCACACATTTTTGGTCCCGTTTGAAACTTTTCGAAATTAGGTCGTCCAAATCCGACGCAAGAAGCCATTGTTGAAGATGGAAAAGGATTGGAATCGTTCGCTCTGCATAGAAGATCCGTTTGACCTCTGTCATAATTTGGGATCAGGTGTTTCAAGGAAAAGTAAGTTCCTTAATACACTTCATGAATTATGTAACTTTATGTTGAAGCCTTTAATTTTCTGAATGTAGGTACACAGAGAAACAATTTTGATTATTTTCGAAAAGCGAATAACGAAAAAGATTTGAAGGGTCATTTTTATTTCGATGACCTCTTTAGGGTTTCTGACTTATCTCGTGGTTACTTTTTGAAGTATAACAGATGGGAAATATATTAAATGCACTGATCACGATAATTTGGGTTATCTATTCCGAACTGAATTATAACATGCAAAAAAGGCGAAGAACACGTGAAACTCGACGTGTTTAGGCAAATATAAGGCCCTTAAAAATAGAATTAGTAAATTAGGGATTGAACCAAAACATGGCCGAAGTCCCAACTCGCAAGAGATATCAAAAACCGCTCATCCTGGAAAGTTTTTCTTTTGGGATGGGTACTCCTTTGAGTGAATCCAGAATATCAGCCCTCGGATGAGTTTGATACAAAGATCAACTTAAATATACCAACAGGCTATCAGTGCTTTACATCCCAAACAAATCTGAGCGATTTTTTGACCCTGGGTAATAAGAAGGCGTTAGTGATAGGTAGTATCATAGTATAGTACAGGAAATTCCATCCAGATAGTAACAACGCCTTGCACAGTTGTTTGCATCGCAAATATGGGAAACATTCAAGAAACTTTCAGTGGGCTCTTACCAGTAAAATCATTTTTTCACTGTATTCACCTTATTTAGTGTTATTTAGTGTTTGTATTCATCGTTCGCAACATTCACAACTCTCGTAAGCTCTTCATGCTATCGGATGTTCGAAGGGCATTCCTCGAAGGCAGGAAAGTTGCAACTGACCACGAAATGCCTCTTCGGTTCAGCGACGAATACGCTGTACGTTATTTTTTGCTATGTAGAGCATGCAATGAACAGTGCCGCCTCGGGAAATGTACCACAATGATTGGAAATCGCGATGAAATTGGAAACCAAAGTCCAATTAAGGCAGGGTCTGATTTGCAACTCACCCAGTTTAGAAAGGGCTCAAGATTCGTTTAAAATGTGACTGTGACTCTGTCATTCAATAAGGATGGTTAAGGGAAGGGGCAAACTTCCAAAGACGCTGTATAGTGTGTTACAAGCGAAGCGATGGTGTACCCAATTCCTTACGAAAACAAAAAAAAGGGAGGCCAAAATATTGGGGTTTAATGCTTTTTTTGTCCCTCTGCCACTAGTCATTGCTACTCAGTATTTTTCTATAATTTCTAAAAAATTGTTTCACTCTTTTCTAAATTTTTGTTTGAACGACTGGTTTCTGCGAAGGGAAATCCTATATAGCCAAGTTACACAAGCATCACTAGTCTGTACGAGCTTTGAATATAAAAATACCGAGAGGCGAACCCTCGACATTAGATCAAATTGGCTGAAATTGTTCGAAAACAGGTTTTCAGGTCCATTATCGGGAGCATCAAGACCACAGTCCAATTTTTTCTGTTACCCGTCTTCTTCCAGGTAGTGCTACTTAGAAAATGCCAGATGGGTCCAGCGCCTACTGATCGTCAGTGTCGTATTTGCCATCGCATAGGACACTTTGCAGAAGCTTGCCAGAAGTGAGTTCTTTTTAGCCATACTTCTTCCAAATCACATGAAATCAGTATTTGTTTCGTCCATGGGCCAAATTCTTGAAGTGTTTATTCAAGACACGTCTTAGTTATTAACAATTATAGGAGTGTCAATGGTCAACGAGCACCGCGACGTAGTGAGCTATGGACAAAGAGAACGACGGTAAGTTTTTATTGCTTTCACATCTCACCACTTTCATTCTTGCATTTCCCATTCCGGGTAGTGCAAGCGATTTGTTCATCTTCATCTTTCTTCTTAATTACTCCTAATGGTTTATAGAAAAGAGGAGCTGAACCAATGTATGTGGAAAATAAAAACTCGTGTTTCTCCATGAAAGTAAATTAGATGTGTTTTTATGGAATTCGTTACATTTGTAGGTTCACTGCCAAACGTTATCATTCAGGTTGCACATACAACTACTCCACGAAGCGGTTATGTATTTGGCACTCGAATCAATGCAAACCAAGGAGATCGTGTGTTCTATCGGGTAGGATCATAATTTTACCGTGGTCATAACTCGATTATTTTGAAATACATACAAAGTCATCGTTCCCTGCTAGTGCTTCAGGAATCTTCTAACTTCGAGTTTTATTTCCTTTTAACCTACTATTGCGCTTTCCGAAGAGTCTTCTATCTCTTGAACCTCCGTTTGATTCCTGCTCCGATGAGCGTTCCGCCGTTTTGTCTTTCCTAAACTCAGTTAGCTCAGATTTTTTAACTTCGGTTTTTGTCTATAAGCAAGGAAAATAGCTTAAGTAAGAAAAAGGAGTTTCCCATTTGCACTTCGTCAAATCTATTCAGAATTCCAAATGAAACATGTCTTCATTACAGAGAAACGAGCGACCACCACGTGGAATGAGGTCGTTCGAGTGAAGCGAATAGATTTTTCAAGTGAATTTTTCTCGGATACGTGTATTTTTGTGTGATTTCTTGTTTGGGGACCTCTTACAACACATTCATCCAAACTAACAATAAGTGTTCGGTGTCACTCCTGCCTGTCGCTTGTCTGCGTAGATTCACTTCCATGTCGAAATAATCGTTCTTAAGCTTTCAACGGTTGAAAGTTCAATGCAATTCGCCTTTGATGATTTTTCGAAATAATTCGACCTCTTTTTGATGTTTTGTTTAGAATATTTTACAGTAGGTTTAAATATGTTCTCTCACCATAACTAGAATATTTTCGAAGGTCTTTGCATACTTGTAGTCAAGTGCACGAGTATTGATCGAGTTTTCGTATCGATCAATGATCATTCGGGAAAAAACTGTATTTTGATCTATTTTCGCGTACATTTACTGATATTTTTATTTACCATTTAGTTATCCATTATTTTGATAGTCGTTCGTTTTTCTTGTAGGTTTAAACTTTGACTGGTTGGAATTGTGGGATTGTTTCTTTGAAAGTGCGTCAGAATTTCTGTCATCGTATTGTTTTCTCAGGATTGTATGCAGGTGGCGCACTTACTGTGAAAAAAACACGGTAATTTTGTAAACAGTGATCCATTCACATACCATCAGTTCCTGTTGTCTAATAGTTCCCCCCCTCCCCCTCCTCCACCCTTCCGACTAAACTGACTTTGTCGCCGATGTCGCCGACGTTACCTCTTTTTAAATTGTAACAGGTACTCATAGTGCTGGCTATTCCTAATGGCGGACTTAGGTGGTCGATTCAATGTAACATAACGAGTGGCTTCCTGCTTACTGGTAACGGTGGGTTTTTGGCCTTGAGAACAACGACGACCTTCGTGCGCAGAAACCAACTAGTTGTGGTTACTTCAAAGTTATTCGTGGCTAATGGTAATATTACATCTGTCTTTTCGCTATCTTTATCGTATCTCCTTAGTTTACCTTTCAGCGAGGAAATAAGTTATCATTGTGTAAATTAAAAGGGGATTATGCTAACTCATTGGCTCTGGGTGGGATTGATCTTCAGCTTTTCTTTTCCTTCCGAAGTTTTCATCGTTTAATTCCTGTCCCATCACTTGTCTACAGCTTGGTTAGCTGTGGCCACGGATAACTTACATCTCTATCCTAACATGGATTACTGTTTTCAAAATTTCACTGGTTCAAATGGGTATGCCATGATCGTACGAGTCTCAGAGTGTATCAGTTATTGTCACCTCTTCATTTTAAGCCTTCAGGTTCTTTACAAAGACGAGAATCACGATCAGTCACAGTAATGTGCGCCATTCCATTCCTTTAGGTTGTCTCTTTCGTTTGCCTTTGCTGGGCCTAACCTCTTTGGCTAAATGGTGTAGCATGTAATAGCATGCATTGATAGATCTCATGTAGTGTTATTCCACAAATTCATTGTTCATTTCCATGGAATTGAATGTACTTATGGGTCATATCGTTGAATTTATACAATTTGTATTGCAATGATATGTGCCTGCTCCATACAAAACGAATAAAGATCCGGAGCAACCCGTTGTACTGCTGTGACAGAGAAAGACGTGCCTAAGTCGTTCAATACTTCAAGTTTCTTTTTCTTTCCATTGTTTTTCCTTTTCAAGTGGTTTTACTACGATTTGTTTATATTATTTTTTTTTTCATTTTTTTTTCAAATTTCCTGATTTTTCATGGTATTTTGAATCCGATTCATTGCTTTTTTTTTCTATCGATTTTTTCTCATTCACTTCTTTGTTTAACTAGTATCGTTCTCCTTTATTTCAATGTCATGTCAATAATAATTGATGATGTTTGCCGTTCCGTTCCACTAATAGTTTTTTTCCTCTCACCCCCGTTTCGGAACGGCTGATTATTCCGATTTTTTCCTTTTCTGAATTTTTCCTTTCCTTTCTCAGATAGTGCTCAGGGGTGAGCGTTTTTTGGAAAGGCATTTTGAATCCTTGCTTGATCAAGATTTGTTAGACCAAATGGTCTAAACACAGGCTTTAGTATCATTTTCTCTACATGGGGTGCTGTTCCTTCCTTCTTTTACCCTCCTAAAAAGCCTGCCAGTTATCGCTTTGCTTTGGAGTGCTTCCGACTAAAAACAGCTAAAATTAGGTGCTGCACTGTGATCTTTTTTTCTTTGATATTTTCATATTTTAAATCCGCCTTCCGTTCCTTGTTTGGAATTTCCGATTAGTCACGAGGGAATGGTTTGGAATTTCAAGGGTTTTAATTAGCTCAACCATTTTGATTCAGTTTTTCTATTCGGATACTTTTTTGCGTGACGAGCCACAAAAGCTATCATACATCATGGTGTTCTCGCCCCTGTAAGAGCACCAAGTGCGATGAAAACTTTCCGAATAATCTAGTAACTACATGAAAGATCAAGATTGGAGCGTTTTGTTCAACTTTTGGGGTATGCTTCATGCTCTCTTGCAGAATCTTATTAGTGTTAATGTGTCTTTTGGGTAGTCTATAGCCTCTCAGTATGCATGGAGTAAACGCCGTCATATTGTCTATGTATTGGCCACGGCTCCCTTTTCAGAGACTGTGGGCTGAATTAATGTGGACTATGTTGGACTTGTCCTAGTCCTATTAGAGTAGCGGAAGGCTATTATTTTGTCCCAGACTACGTACGTGCAAAGCTAGCTATAGGTTACTTGTTGAATGCCAAGTGAGCCCAGAGTGTTGTATAGTGTTGTTTAACTCTTAGTAGGCTTCAGGACAAAAGCGGTCCAATGAGATAGGTTCATACCTGCTTTTCCTAGTAGAGACTCTTCGAAAGAGCAAAGTTTAATATTATTAGAACAACGTTCGCCTAGCTTCTTCTAATTAGCGTGGTGTCGACGGCACTTTTATTTTGCTTCCACCGCTATTTTCTACAATGTCTCCTGTCTGTGATCGTATCTTTTGATTGCTATAAGAACAGGTCGATAGAAAACTATCACAATTCAAAACTTATTCC